GAAAATGGCTGTCTAGCAATGATCAACAACCAACTTGACAGAGCTTGAAGATTTTTTAAAATAATAATGTGAAAATATTGTACAGTCCAGGTGTGCAAACCTCTTAGAGACTTACCCAGAAAGACTCACAGCTGTAATCGCTGCCAAAGGTGATTCTAACATGTATTGACTCAGGGGGGTTGAATACTTATGTAAATTAGATTTCTGTATTTCATTTTCAATACATTTGCAAACATTTCTAAAATCATGTTCCACTGTCATTATGGGGTATTACGTTTCAAATCTATTTAATACATTTTGAATTCAGGCTGTAAAAACTAAAACGTGGAATAAGTCAAGGGGTCTGAAGGCGCTAAAACAAATCAGTCACCTCCATAATTATTGGCACCCTCGATAAAAATATGAAAAAGACTGTATAGAATAAATACAAATACTGAGCTACATTGTTTGACTATATAATTCCATACTAATACAAATGCACAGAGAAAGATTTTGTTTAAACAAGTAATCATTTTTATCTAAAAAAGGTGTCAAAATTATTGGTACCCCTACAAATTCTTATAGATAAAATAAAACAAACGTTCATCTCAGCTAAAAGGCGAACTGAACTGGAGAACCAACTTCTCTGGTTGAAAACGGCACGTGACATCGATATTAGTCAGAAACATTTATTACGGTGCCAAAATGTACTAAAAAGTGCAAGTAGGTTAATTTCGTCAGTATTGTCCAAAACTGAGTTGTGAGATTTGTGGACAAGAGTTTGTTAGGACCTAACGAGGGTTGGGTTTTGTCCATTTGCCCACTACCACGGGACGAACAGCTGTGATGATTGGGTTGGGTTTTGTCCATTTGCCCACTACCACGGGACGAACAGCTGTGATAATTGGGTTGGGTTTTGTCCATTTGCCCACTACCACGGGACGAACAGCTGTGTTTTGTCCATTTGCCCACTACCACGGGACGAACAGCTGTGATGATTGGGTTGGGTTTTGCCCACTACCACGGGACGAACAGCTGTGTTGATTGGGTTGGGTTTTGTCCATTTGCCCACTACCACGGGACGAACAGCTGTGTTGATTGGGTTGGGTTTTGTCCATTTGCCCACTACCACGGGACGAACAGCTGTGATGATTGGGTTGGGTTTTGTCCATTTGCCCACTACCACGGGACGAACAGCTGTGTTGATTGGGTTGGGTTTTGTCCATTTGCCCACTACCACGGGACGAACAGCTGTGATGATTGGGTTGGGTTTTGTCCATTTGCCCACTACCACGGGACGAACAGCTGTGATGATTGGGTTGGGTTTTGTCCATTTGCCCACTACCACGGGACGAACAGCTGTGTTGATTGGGTTGGGTTTTGTCCATTTGCCCACTACCACGGGACGAACAGCTGTGTTTTGTCCATTTGCCCACTACCACGGGACGAACAGCTGTGATGATTGGGTTGGGTTTTGTCCATTTGCCCACTACCACGGGACGAACAGCTGTGTTGATTGGGTTGGGTTTTGTCCATTTGCCCACTACCACGGGACGAACAGCTGTGTTTTGTCCATTTGCCCACTACCACGGGACGAACAGCTGTGATGATTGGGTTGGGTTTTGCCCACTACCACGGGACGAACAGCTGTGTTGATTGGGTTGGGTTTTGTCCATTTGCCCACTACCACGGGACGAACAGCTGTGTTTTGTCCATTTGCCCACTACCACGGGACGAACAGCTGTGATGATTGGGTTGGGTTTTGCCCACTACCACGGGACGAACAGCTGTGTTGATTGGGTTGGGTTTTGTCCATTTGCCCACTACCACGGGACGAACAGCTGTGTTGATTGGGTTGGGTTTTGTCCATTTGCCCACTACCACGGGACGAACAGCTGTGATGATTGGGTTGGGTTTTGTCCATTTGCCCACTACCACGGGACGAAACAGCTGTGTTGATTGGGTTGGGTTTTGTCCATTTGCCCACTACCACGGGACGAACAGCTGTGATGATTGGGTTGGGTTTTGTCCATTTGCCCACTACCACGGGACGAACAGCTGTGATGATTGGGTTGGGTTTTGTCCATTTGCCCACTACCACGGGACGAACAGCTGTGTTGATTGGGTTGGGTTTTGTCCATTTGCCCACTACCACGGGACGAACAGCTGTGTTTTGTCCATTTGCCCACTACCACGGGACGAACAGCTGTGATGATTGGGTTGGGTTTTGTCCATTTGCCCACTACCACGGGACGAACAGCTGTGTTGATTGGGTTGGGTTTTGTCCATTTGCCCACTACCACGGGACGAACAGCTGTGTTTTGTCCATTTGCCCACTACCACGGGACGAACAGCTGTGATGATTGGGTTGGGTTTTGCCCACTACCACGGGACGAACAGCTGTGTTGATTGGGTTGGGTTTTGTCCATTTGCCCACTACCACGGGACGAACAGCTGTGTTTTGTCCATTTGCCCACTACCACGGGACGAACAGCTGTGTTGATTGGGTTGGGTTTTGTCCATTTGCCCACTACCACGGGACGAACAGCTGTGATGATTGGGTTGGGTTTTGTCCATTTGCCCACTACCACGGGACGAACAGCTGTGTTGATTGGGTTGGGTTTTGTCCATTTGCCCACTACCACGGGACGAACAGCTGTGATGATTGCTCTCTATCCAATGGCACAGACCGAGACAGACCTGCCCCCGCAGCTCAGACCGAGACAGACCTGCCCCCTCAGACCGAGACAGACCTGCCCCCGCAGCACAGACCGAGACAGACCTGCCCCCTCAGACCGAGACAGACCTGCCCCCGCAGCTCAGACCGAGACAGACCTGCCCCCGCAGCACAGACCGAGACAGACCTGCCCCCTCAGACCGAGACAGACCTGCCCCCGCAGCACAGACCGAGACAGACCTGCCCCCTCAGACCGAGACAGACCTGCCCCCTCAGCTCAGACCGAGACAGACCTGCCCCCTCAGCTCAGACCGAGACAGACCTGCCCCCTCAGCTCAGACCGAGACAGACCTGCCCCCTCAGCTCAGACCGAGACAGACCTGCCCCCTCAGCTCAGACCGAGACAGACCTGCCCCCTCAGCTCAGACCGAGACAGACCTGCCCCCTCAGCTCAGACCGAGACAGACCTGCCCCCCGCAGCTCAGACCGAGACAGACCTGCCCCCTCAGCTCAGACCGAGACAGACCTGCCCCCGCAGCTCAGACCGAGACAGACCTGCCCCCTCAGCTCAGACCGAGACAGACCTGCCAACCAGACAACACATTTCACATTTCTTTTAAAATGGTGCTACTAAAACCTCCTCTGCCAAAACGTCCAAATGAATGAATTACACTATCCAATTACAGGATGAATTACACTATCCAATTACAGGATGAATTACACTATCAATAAGGAGAATTACACTATCCAATTACAGGATGAATTACACTATCCAATTACAGGATGAATTACACTATCCAATTACAGGATGAATTACACTATCCAATTACAGGATGAATTACACTATCCAATTACAGGATGAATTACACTATCCAATTACAGGATGAATTACACTATCCAATTACAGGATGAATTACACTATCCAATTACAGGATGAATTACACTATCCAATTACAGGATGAATTACACTATCCAATTACAGGATTTCTTGAGTTATCTTAGATTCATTCTGACTATTTTGAGGAAGTACTACTGCCTTCCTTCATATGGTGTCTCATAAGGGACAACCTGCCACACCGAACCACACCCCCAAGACTGAGATCTCGTTTTTCTGAATGAGCAACAGAAAAAACCACACGGCGAATCAGTGCGTTCAGTCGCTCTTTAAGGAACTGGCCTTCCATGGCTTCCTGTTTCACTGGAGTATAAAAATGAGGTAACACACAAAAAGGGTACAAAACACCAGCTAAAAAAAACTCTACATACCACTTACCACTATTAGGGCAATAATGAATAAGTTTAAAACTCCTGGAACAGAGGTCAACCTGCCTGGTAGAGGGTGCATGTGTATATTGTCCCCACAGGGAGGAAGATAGTTCAGGTGGAAAAGAAAAGTCCAAGGGGCCACAGTTGGAGAATAACAGAACTTGGTCGTATCTTGGGGTCACCAAGTCTCCAAAACAACAATTAGACGCCACCCCCACGCCAATAAGCTCGTTGGAAGGGTTGCCAGAAAAAAAGCTTTTATTAAGAGCAACCAACAAAATAAACGCCTGGAGTTTGGTAAACGGCATCGGCCAGGGGTGTCAAACATAGGCATTTGGATTGGAACCAGGTCAGATGGGAGGAAAATGGAGCTCTGGCCAGGGGTGGGTTTGGCATTGAAAGAATGATGCATAATCAGAGAAGTACGTCATTAATGTTATATTATGGGGCTGTTTACCTTCCACTGGTCCTGGGGCCAAGGTTAAGGTCAACGGCATCATGAACTTAACCCACTACCAGGACATTGTAGCCAAAGACCTGGTTGCCTCTGCAAGGAGGCTGAAAATTGACTGCAAGTGGATCTTCCAGCAAGACAATAACTCCAAGCACACATCGAAATCCACCAAGAAATGGTTAATTGACCACAAAATCAACATATTGCAATGGCCATCTCAGTCTCCGGACTTGAACCCATTGAAAACCTGTGGTTTGAATTGAAGATGGAAGTCCATAAGCGCAGAGGAAGGATATCAAGGATCTGGAAGGATTCTGTATGGAGGAACGGTCTAAGATCCCTTCCCAATGTGTTCTCCAATATCATACAACATTACAGAAAAGGCTCAGTGCCGTTATCGTTGCAAGGGGAGGGTGCACAAAGTATTGAAAACAAGGGTGCCAATAATGTAGGCACCTATCATTTTGAGGTAAACATTTTTTGCTCATCTTTATCAAGGGTGCCAATAATTTGAGGTGACTGTATGTCATTCCAACTTCCCTCCTGGATTACATCACAGACAGACAGACAGACAGACAGACAGACAGACAGACAGACAGACAGACAGACAGACAGACCCTTCACCTGGTCCTTCAGCTGTTCCAGGGCGGTTTGAGTGGACTCCAGCAGGGCTGTGACATCAGCAACCTCCTTGCCCGTCGGCCTGCTGGGTAGTGACCTCTGACCCTTCCTGGCACCCCTGGAGAAAGAGGTCAGGTGGGTTAGTACTGGGCCAGTGAGTGTAGGGGTGAGTGTGTCCCTGATATCAGAGGGCCAGGGGGTGAGTGTAGGGGTGAGTGTGTCCCTGATATCAGAGGGCCAGGGGGTGAGTGTAGGGGTGAGTGTAGGGGTGAGTGTGTCCCTGATATCAGAGGGCCAGGGGGTGAGTGTAGGGGTGGAGTGTAGGGGTGAGTGCGTACCGTGATATCAGAGTGCAGGGGGTGAGTGTGGTCCCTGATATCAGAGGGCCAGGGTTGAGTGGTAGGGGTGAGTGTGTCCCTGATATCAGAGGGCCAGGGGGTGAGTGTGTCCCTGATATCAGAGTGCCAGGGGGTGAGTGTGTCCCTGATATCAGAGGGCCAGGGGTGTGAGTGTAGGGGTGAGTGTGTCCCCTGAATCAGAGGGCCAGGGGGTGAGTGTGTCCCTGATATCAGAGGGCCAGGGGGGTGAGTGTGTCCCTGATATCAGAGGGGCCAGGGGGTGAGTGTAGGGTGAGTGTGTACCTGATATCAGAGGGCCAGGGGGTGAGGTGTAGGGTGGGTGTGTTACCTGATATCAGAGGGCCAGGGGGGTGAGTGTAGGGGTGAGTGTTCCCTGATATCATGAGGGCCAGGGGGTGAGTGTAGGGGTGAGTGTGTCCCTGATATCAGAGGGCCAGGGGTGAGTGTAGGGGTGAGTGTGTCCCTGATATCGAGGGCCAGGGTGAGTGGTGTCCCTGATATCAGAGGGCCAGGGGTGAGTGTAGGGGGTGAGTGTGTCCCTGATATCAGAGGGCCAGGGGTGAGTGTAGGGGTGAGTGTGTCCCTGATATCAGAGGGCCAGGGGGTGAGTGTAGGGGTGAGTGTGTCCCTGATATCAGAGGGCCAGGGGGTGAGTGTAGGGGTGAGTGTGTCCCTGATATCAGAGGGCCAGGGCTTTGGGGGTGAGTGTGGGCCCTGATATCAGAGGGCCAGGGGGTGAGTTGTAGGGGGTGAGTGTGTCCCTGATATCAGAGGGCCAGGGGTGAGTGTAGGGTGAGTGTGTCCCTGATATCAGAGGGCCAGGGGGTGAGTGTAGGGGTGAGTGTGTCCCTGATATCAGAGGGCCAGGGGGTGAGTGTGTCCCTGATATCAGAGGGCCAGGGGGTGAGTGTAGGGGTGAGTGTGTCCCTGATATCAGAGGGCCAGGGGTGAGTGTAGGGGTGAGTGTGGTGAGTGGTCCCTTGATATCAGAGGGCCAGGGGGTGAGTGGGGTGAGTGTAGGGGTGATGGGGGTCGTACCTGATATCAGAGGGCCAGGGGGTGAGTGTAGGGTGAGTGTAGGGGTGAGGTGCCCTGATATCAGAGGGCCAGGGGGTGAGTGTAGGGGTGAGGTGTTTAGAGGGCCTGAGTGTCCCTGATATCAGAGGGCCAGGGGGTTTAGTGTAGGGGTGAGTGCGTACCTGATATCAGAGGGCCAGTGGGTGGGTGAGTGTGTCCCTGATATCAGAGGGCCAGGGGTGAGTGTAGGGGTGAGTGGTGTCCTGATATCAGAGGGCCAGGGGGTGAGTGTGGGGGAGGGGTGAGGCCGGTGTGTAGGTGAGTGTGTCCTGATTCAGGGCCAGGGGTGAGTGTAGGGGTAGTGTAGGGGTGAGTGCTGTCCCTGATATCAGAGGACATGGAGCCCAAAGGGGCCGGGTGAGTGTAGGGTGAGTTGCTCCTGAAAAATCAAGGGCCAGGGGGGTGTGTCCCTGATATCAGAGGGCCAGGGTGTGAGTGTAGGGGTGAGTGTGCTCCTGATTAGAGGGCCAGGGGTGAGTGTAGGGGTGAGGGGTTTACAGGGCCCGGTGTGTAGGGTGAGGAGTCCTTGATAAAGGGCCCGGGGGGTTTTTGTATGATGCCCTGATATCAGGCATGGTGGTTAACCCTGAATATAGAGGGCAGTGGTTTAGGTTAGTGTGCCCTGATACAGAGGGCCAGGGGGAAGTTGTCCCGTAGGGCCAAGGGGGCGTGAGGGTAGAGTTTACCCTGTTAGATGGCAGGGCGGTGAGTTAGGGGTGAAGTTTGAGTCGTACTTTAATCAGGGCCAGGTGGGTGATAGGGGTAGTGTATGGTTGAGTCATGGCGTTTATATCAAGGCCATTGAGTGTATGGGTGATGTAGGGTCAGGCGTACCTGATATCAATGCCTGGGTGAGTTAGTGGGATGTAGGTATCGTACCTAATATAAGGCCAAGGGGAATATGTGGTGAGCACCTGATATCAAGGGCCAGGGTGATTGGGGGTGCTTTTTTCAGGGGAGGTGAGCTTCAGGACAGAAATTCCTTCATAAAGGCCCCCTTCCGGCCTGCGTCCCCCCCAACCCCCTGGAGCCAGCCTAGAGTTAGCACTGCCCAGGAAACAACTGGGCCCGGGAAGGCCCGGCCCTGAGAGAGGAGGGACACAGCCTGTTAGAATACAGCAGAACAACACATACAGTGGAAGTTTATACGTCACATACAGTGGAAGTGGGAAGTTTACATCCTCTTAGGTTGGAGTCATTAAAACTCGTTTTTCAACCACTCCACAAATTTCTTGTTAACAAACTATAGTTTTGGCAAGTCGGTTAGGACATCTACTTTGTGCATGACACAAGCCATTTTTCCAACAATTGTTTACAGACAGATTATTTCACTGTATCACAATTCCAGTGGGTCAGAAGTTTACATACACTAAGTTGATTGTGCCTTTAAACAGCTTGGAAAATTCCAGAAAATAATGTCATGGCTTTAGAAGCTTCTGATAGGCTAATTGACATCATTTGAGTCAATTGGAGGTGTACCTGTGGATGTATTTCAAGGCCTACCTTCAAACTCAGTGCCTCTTTGCTTGACATCATGGGAAAATCAAAAGAAATCAGCCAAGGAAAAAAATGGTAGACCTCCACAAGTCTGGTTCATTCTTGGGAGCAATTTCCAAACGCCTGAAGGTACCACGTTCATCTGTACAAACAATAGTACGCAAGTATAAACACCATGGGACCATGCAGCCGTCATACCGCTCAGGAAGGAGATGCGTTCTGTCTCCAAGAGATGAACGTACTTTGGTGCGAAAAGTACAAATCAATCCCAGAACAACAGCAAAGGACCTTGTGTAGATGCTGGAGGAAACAGGTACAAAAGTATCTACATCCACAGTAAAACTAGTCCTATATCGACATAACCTGAAAGGCCGCTCAGCAAGGAAGAAGCCACTGCTCCAAAACCGCCATAAAAAAGCCAGACTTCGGTTTGCAACTGGACATGGGGACAAAGATCGTACTTTTTGGAGAAATGTCCTCTGATCTGATGAAACAAAAATAGAACTGTTTGGCCATAATGACCATCTTTATGTTTGGAGGAAAAAGGGGGTTGGCTTGCAAGCCGAAGAACACCATCCCAACCGTGAAGCACGGGGTGGCAGCATCATGCTGTGGGGGTGCTTTGCTGCAGGAGGGACTGGTGCACTTCACAAAATAGATGGCATCATGAGGAAGGAAAATTATGTGGATATATTGAAGCAACATCAAGACATCAGTCAGGAAGTTAAAGCTTGGTCGCATATGGGTCTTCCAAATGGACAATGACCCCAAGCATGCTTCCAAAGTTGTGGCAAAATGGCTTAAGAACAACAAAGTCAAGGTATTGGAGTGGCCATCACAAAGCCCTGACCTCAATCCTATAGAAAATGTGTGGGCAGAACTGAAAAAGCGTGTGCGAGCAAGGAGGCCTACAAACCTGACTCAGTTACACCATCTCTGTCAGGAGGAATGGGCCAAAATTCACCCAACTTATTGTGGTAAGCTTGTAGAAGGCTACCTGAAACATTTGACCCAAGTTAAATAATTTAAAGGCAATGCTATCAAATACTAATTGAGTGTATGTAAACTTCTGACCCACTTGTGATGAAAGAAATAAAAGCTGAAATAAATCATTCTCTCTACTATTATTCTGACATTTCACATTCTTAAAATAAAGTGGTGATCCTAACTGACCTAAGACAGTGTATTTGTACTAGGATTAAATGTCAGGAATTGTGAAAAACTGAGTTTAAATGTATTTGGCTAAGGTGTATGTAAACTTCCGACTTCAACTGTATGAACTGGGTGCAGTTGCAATCTACTGTAGAGAGAGCCTGCAGAGCTCTATCATACTATCCAGGTCTGTGCCCAAACAGTTTGAGCTTCTACTTCTAAAAATCCACCTTTCCAGAAATAAGTCTCTCACTGTTGCCGCTTGCTACAGACCCCCCTCAGCCCCCAGCTGTGCCCTGGACACCATATGTGAATTGATTGCCCCCCATCTATCCTCAGAGTTCGTACTGCTTGGTGACCTAAACTGGGATATGCTTAACACCCCGGCCAACCTACAATCTAAACTAGATGCCCTCAATCTCACACAAATTATAAACGAACCTACCAGGTACAAACCTAGATCCGTAAACATGGGCACCCTCATAGATATCATCCTGACTAACTTACCCTCTAAATACACCTCTGCTGTCTTCAACCAGGATCTCAGCGATCACTGCCTTATTGCCTGCGTCCGTAACGGGTCCGCGGTCAAACGACCACCCCTCATCACTGTCAAACGCTCCCTAAAACACTTTAGCGAGCAGGCCTTTCTAATTGACCTGGCCCGGGTATCCTGGATGGATATTGACCTCATTCCGTCAGTAGAGGATGCCTGGATGTTCTTCAAAAGTGCTTTCCTCTCCATCTTAAATAAGCATGCCCCATTTAAAAAAATTCAGAACTAAGAACAGATATACAGTGGGGAGAACAAGTATTTGATACACTGCCGATTTTGCAGGTTTTCCTACTTACAAAGCATGTAGAGGTCTGTAATTTTTATCATAGGTACACTTCAACTGTGAGAGACGGAAACTAAAACAAAAATCCAGAAAATCACATTGTATGATTTTTAAGTAATTAATTTGCATTTTATTGCATGACATAAGTATTTGATCACCTACCAACCAGTAAGAATTCCAGCTCTCACAGACCTGTTAGTTTTTCTTTAAGAAGCCCTCCTGTTCTCCACTCATTACCTGTATTAACTGCACCTGTTTGAACTCGTTACCTGTATAAAAGACACCTGTCCACACACTCAATCAAACAGACTCCAACCTCCACAATGGCCAAGACCAGAGAGCTGTGTAAAGACATCAGGGATAAAATTGTAGACCTGCACAAGGCTGAGATGGGCTACAGGACAATAGGCAAGCAGCTTGGTGAGAAGGCAACAACTGTTGGCGCAATTATTAGAAAATGGAAGAAGTTCAAGATGACGGTCAATCACCCTCGGTCTGGGGCTCCATGTAAGATCTCACCTCGTGGGGTATCAATGATCATGAGGAAGGTGAGGGATCAGCCCAGAACTACACGGCAGGACCTGGTCAACGACCTGAAGAGAGCTGGGACCACAGTCTTAAAGAAAACCATTAGTAACACACTACGCCGTCATGGATTAAAATCCTGCAGCGCACGCAAGGTCCCCCTGCTCAAGCCAGCGCATGTCCAGGCCCGTCTGAAGTTTGCCAATGACCATCTGGATGATCCAGAGGAGGAATGGGAGAAGGTCATGTGGTCTGATGAGACAAAAATAGAGCTTTTTGGTCTAAACTCCACTCGCCATGTTTGGAGGAAGAAGAAGGATGAGTACATCCCCAAGAACACCATCCCAACCGTGAAGCATGGAGGTGGAAACATCATTCTTTGGGGATGCTTTTCTGCAAAGGGAACAGGACGACTGCACCGTATTGAAGGGAGGAAGGATGGGGCCATGTGTATCGCGAGATCTTGGCCAACAACCTCCTTCCCTCAGTAAGAGCATTGAAGATGGGTCGTGGCTGGGTCTTCCAGCATGACAATGACCCGAAACACACAGCCAGGGCAACTAAGGAGTGGCTCCGTAAGAAGCATCTCAAGGTCCTGGAGTGGCCTAGCCAGTCTCCAGACCTGAACCCAATAGAAAATCTTTGGAGGGAGCTGAAAGTCCGTATTGCCCAGCGACAGCCCCGAAACCTGAAGGATCTGGAGAAGGTCTGTATGGAGGAGTGGGCCAAAATCCCTGCTGCAGTGTGTGCAAACCTGGTCAAGACCTACAGGAAACGTATGATCTCTGTAATTGCAAACAAAGGTTTCTGTACCAAATATTAAGTTCTGCTTTTCTGATGTATCAAATACTTATGTCATGCAATAAAATGCAAATGAATTACTTAAAAATCATACAATGTGATTTTCTGGATTTTTGTTTTAGATTCCGTCTCTCACAGTTGAAGTGTACCTATGATAAACATTACAGACCTCTACATGCTTTGTAAGTAGGAAAACCTGCAAAATCGGCAGTGTATCAAATACTTGTTCTCCCCACTGTATGTATGTGTATGTATGTGTGTGTGTGTGTGTGTGTATGTGTGTGTGTGTGTGTGTATGTGTTGTTGTTGTTGTTCTTGTTCTCCCCACTGTGTGTGTGTGTGTGTGTGTGTATGTATGTGTGTGTAGTTGTTTTAGTGTATGTGTTGTTGTTGTTGTTCTTGTTCTCCCCATGTGGGGTGTGGGGTGGTGTGTTGTATTGTTGTATTGTTTTATGTGTATGTGGTGTGTTATTTTTGTGGTTTTGTGGGTGGGGTGTTTTTTTTGTGTTTTTTTGGGGGTTTTTGTGTGGTTTTTGGGGGTTTTTGGGTGGGGGGGTGTGTGGGCCCCTGTGTGTGTGGGTGTGGGGTGTGTGTGTGGGTGTGGTTGTCGGTGTGTGTGGGGGTGGTGTAATGTGTTTGTGTTGTGGGGGGTGTTTTTTGTTGTGTGTGCTGTGTTTTTTGGTGGTGCTTTGGGTTGTGTGTGTGTGTT